GTTTGGTTTACTTGCTTATTGTATTCTTTCTGAATTCCAGTGGAAATGTGGCAAATAGATAGTCTTTCCTGGCCTTAGTGTGCCTTCTGTTATCTTTTTACTCATTCTGCTTGTTGATGTTGTCAATTTACTGCCACATGCATGGTGGTATAAGGTGGTCTTCATTTCACTCCAACCTTGGGACAATTCATGGTGAGGCTGTTGGGGTGACTTGGGTCTTGTTATTATGTGGTAGTTGAGATATAAACAAGTGTACTGCAGCATACAGCATTATGCAGTGCATTATTGAATTGTAGCTGATACTGTGAAAGTCCAATTTCTATTCAGAGTATACAGTACATCCTGACCTCTTGCCTAAATCACATTACTGGTTACAGGCGACTGATAGCAGTAAACATAGCTGCCACTACTGTGCTACTACTAATAGACAAAAACACCTTACAGTGACACAGTATTAGATTCTGGTGTTGTGCTGTATTTGGTAGTTTCAGGGTTGTTGTCATTTGGTTGTTGTGGATAATTTACAGTACTCTGTATATAAGGCAAAAAAAGAGTTTGTACAATTCTAAGGAATTTGAAAGTCAGTATTCCGTATGACCAATTTTATTAACTCTCTTAGGCTTTTTTGTAATTTCTTTAAGTATAGGTAGTCTTCAGGAATAGTTTTTAAAGGAAACTCAGAACTCTTATTTGGATGTTGGCTGCCTTTCGTTCTGTTCTTTGTCAAGATGATTCCATCATTCAATAGTGTTGAGGTCTGGGCTCTGGGGAGGCCAATCCATGACTGATTGAAATGACAGGTATGCTTTTACTGCACTGGCAGTGTGTTTGAGAGCATTGCCATGCTGAAAAACAAAGCTGCTGCTAATCAGAGGCTTTAAAGATGCTATATGGTGGATATTGAAATCTGATGGTTCTTTTCGGCATTCATAATTCCATCCCAAACACCACTGGTGGACATGTAGCGAAACCAAACCACGACAGAACCAATGTGTTATACAGGTGGCTACAGACACTCACTCTTGTACCTCTCCAGTATATATTGATTTTTGATTTGAACCAATCAAAATTTAGATTAATCACAGCACAGGACTGTGAATGAATGAAGCAGCCAATGTCCAAAGAAAACCTTTAAAGAATCATTAAGAAGCCTGGAAAGCTGTTTCTCCAGACCACTTTAAAAATTGTAAAGAATTTAGGGTTTGCTCTGTACTTTTGTATTGTACTATCTATATAAAACTCTGATTTCCAATTTTATTAACAATTTTGTTATCATGTTTTCATTTTTTTTTAATTTGTTTGATGTTTTTTAGTCTGTAACTCGTTAAAGTTGTTTGTTAGCCACTTTTTTAAAACCAATATAAGAAATTCCATATCTTCACATGTCTTTTGAAACTTTGTAGGCATGCGACTGGGATAATTAACATACTTTTACAACTTGTAAGCCAAGAGCAGCAGGCTTGACGATTCTCCAAATCCACAGTTTCATCTAATCAAGGATTAAACTTAATTGTGGATTAGAGTTTTGTTCCTACTGTGGTTATATTAATAAATATAACAATGGAAAAATGTCAAAAGAAAAGAATATTTTGCAATGGCAATTGTTTTGATTTTATTGCAGTGGCACCAATCTGTGTTCTCAAGACATTTTCCATGGTAGAACAGGTGCTTTATTTCTGCTTGTTTTCAACTTATGCGAGGTCCTGCTTCTGTACCTGTTGGTTGGCTGCCATTGATTCCGGGGGGGGGGCAAACAAATTTCTTATAATTATGAGAAATTTGTGAGGTGCTTTGTTTTACAGTATAGTTACAATATTCTGGCAAGAATCTCATCATGTGTTTTTTGGTGCTTTTACACTAAAACCAACAGACTGCCAAAATGACATCTTTTTACAGCACATCAGTGTCCTGTCTGTCTGGCCACTTTTTTTGCCACCACGAAATTGCCAGACCCAAAATTGGAACTACTGTAACTATGGAGAAGGATCACATCTGTCACATTTCCCCCCACACACACAATGACCACAACTTCTGGTATAGAACTCTAATGTACGGGTTTCATACTTTTTGAAGTGTAGGCTTATTCTCCAAAGGCACTGAAGCAGGACTGGCTCTTCACCAGCACCGCTCACACCAGATAGAAAACATCAAAATGCTGAAAAAATAAAGGGATGCTCTGTTGCTATGAATGAATCCTTTCATATCTAATCTCCTTTGATTCATTGTCAATGTAAAAATACTGAAGAACTTTAAATAAAAGTTAATTAAAAAACGAATAACTACATGTAAATGGCCATTGCACAGGTGCTGGTAATTATTATTCTGCAATCACTAAACCTATCCCACATTTTGTCTTCTTTTATTAAAATTTTAATTCAATATTTTTTTCTCTCACAAATCAGCTGACAGGTTTCCAATTTGTTCGGTGAAACACAATAGTCATCCTCATCTCGTGTAAATGAAGTCTTCTGGGTCCCCACAGAGCCCCCAAGACAATACTTGCAATCTCATTCATTTTATCACTCCCTCTTCTATTGATATTGGTGTTCCATATTCAGCGTTTTATTACTTATCGCCATGCAGTTATTCATATCAGCCCTTGTGAGCTGATCAAGAAGCAGAGTTTTTCTTGCAGCGAGGCTTCTCTACTTTGTTGTTTTATCTGGCGCACACGTATGAAAAAGGCCTGAGGGAGGAAGACAATGCTGTCTGCTTTAACTCATCTCGCTGCCTGACACTGAGGTATCAGGCACCAGCAGGGGAGAGAGAATATTTTATCTGACATTGTCACTCTCTGTAGAAACCTCCGGGAGGCTGAGGCTGCTGTGACACACTTGGTGGTCAGCAGCACTGCATATGATTATGACAGCTCCTGCTACCCTCGCAGAAACCATAGGTCTGTGGTGTTATTGTGAAATGAAATCTTCATAATAACAGCGTGGGCTCAGTCGCTTTTAGTGCTCTGGATAAAGTTTTAAGCAGCAACAGTGTGTAGCCGTAAAACACATTTTAAAAAATCTCTTTGTTTTCTTCAGGCGATTGCTACTCTGGTGGACTTTGGAGCATCACATAAAGTTGTTCTTAAAAGTCCCAAACTGATTTGGATTAAATACAGAGAAAGAGGAGACATGAGATCGTCATTGTTTCACGTGAGTCTCATTTTTGTGGCCATTCATATGATCCACTGCCAAATCCTTTGCAACAGGCAACCTTCAACCGAATGGCACCTTAAAAAAAACACAATCCAAATGAATTGGACTCTAATAGGGAACATCTGCAGGAGTGTTTCTGAGTGTTGGGATTCCCAGCGGGGAGACGAGTCAAGTGAGCAGCCTTTCAACTTCCCACAGATATGCCCAGTTCAGCTACAACATGGAGACAAACTGCTGATGTCTGCTGATGAAACACTCAAGTCATATGGCATCAAACTCCTAAATGTGTCAAAAGATAACTTTGAAAGCTGTTCTGCAACAGGACAGAGAGAAGATCAGTTTCTCCTCCCTCACAACATAAATGAAAGAGAGCAAGTCGATGCCAGGTGGCTCATGCCGGGTCACCGTTATTTTATTGCGCTGCACGAAGGAGACACACAGCTGTGCACGCTAGGTTTGAGGCTGAACGTCACAGTTAAAACCCAACTTTGTCGGAGCTCCCCGATGCTTCGACTTTGTTCGGGGAACGGTGTCTGTCAAACAGGAGTCGGAGAGAGTGCATTCCACTGTCGATGTCACCACAAGTATTCCGGGAGGTTTTGTGAAAAGTTTGATGCTTGTTTGGATAACCCCTGTGAAAACAAAGGAGTCTGTTTGAGCAATGGATCGACAGATCCACACTACAGAACATATAAGTGTCTGTGTCCTCCACATTTTACAGGTGAGCACAAATGTCACTGATTCCATTTATTGAGTTCTCATAATTGTTTGAATTAGGGCTTGGTCAGAGCATCTAAAAATAGTCCTATACATCACTTGTGGCTGTAACATGTTGCATTTGCTACAAAATCAAAGTTTGTAGAAGTGTTTCTGAGAGACGCACTCATGTGCTGAAAGAACGTAAAAGCAGCTTCTCAATTATGGATTTATTGAACACATCAAGTTAATGTTTTTCACCATAACCCTCCGACACTCATGTAATGCAAACAGAATAAATTTTTACATTGCTTGCATTCCAGATGACTTCCTTCTTAAGCTCCTTGCTGAATTATCTACAGCAGCGGTCCCCAACCTTTTTTGCGCCACGGACCGGTTTATGCCCGACAATATTTTCACGGACAGGCCTTTAAGGTGTCACGGATAGATACATAAAATAAAACTAGTACCGGTACTGAAAAAAGAAAATTTATTCATAACACATGTAAAAAGACCCAGGAAAACCAAGTTAACGATAAAAACGATAACAAAATAACGCTGAAAACTGATTAAAAACCCCGAAAACCACACATTTCACACCTGAGCCTCAACTCTAGTGGCCCGGTACCAAACGACCCACGGACCGGTACCGGTCCGAGGCCCGTGCGTTGGGGACCGCTGATCTATAGTAATGGCTTTGTTAGACATTAGACCTCTGTGTATGCAAGCAAACTTAATTCTGCTCATCCACTGTTTTTTTCTGTGCCTGGTCCTCTGTGAATAATCATCTAATGGGCTGTTTGTTTTAGGGGTTAACTGCTCTGAAATCATTGGGAAAGCAAACTGTGACAGCATCTGTGAAAATGGGACATGCCTTCAAATATCACCTGCATCCTTCAAATGCATCTGTGACACTGGTTTCTCTGGTAAGCATCTCTTATTTTAGAAGGCTGTTTATATAACGTAGATGGACTGTCTGGCTCAGTAACAATGAAGAGCTGCTCTTTAAACAGCATGTCACAGTTTTAATCACTGCCAGGCAAATCGCACAGTTTACTGCAATTCTGTATACAAAGCACAATGGAAAGTGTTTTTTCCCCTCACCTCCCAGAACCATGTAATTTCCCTCAAACAGGAGGGCTATCTTCAAATCATCATAAATCATAAAAAGATCAGCATTTCCTTGTGGGCTATAAACTTGATCCCACTCGATGTTATATTTGTCATCATAATATATGAAGGGGCCACTTCAAGTCAAATACCTCATATTACAACCAGTGATGTGCTGCTCTAAAGGGCCTGGGCTATACTGCTAGCTAACGGAGCGTGCCGGAGTTAATAAAATAAAGGTTTACGGCAATCAGGTAAAATGTAATTTATAGTGTATTGTTTCTGCTGAGAGCGTAAAGATAAAAATAAATGTTATTCAGTGCTCGTTATTTGAAGAATAAGTCCCATTTATGATAGTATTTATAATTACATTTTACAGGTGGCACACAAGAGGCTTCCAAGTTCAGGATAAAACGAACGCGTCACTTTTTTAGGTCACAAAAGAAACAACACGTGATGTAAAGTTGATACACAGAAAGGGCAGAATTAATATACATCTGAGAACTGGATATAGTTATTTGGAAATCCATCACTTTTCTTCTGCTCTGCTCATATTCACAGAGACAAATTGCATGGTTATATTATATTTAGGCTTAGGGTTAAAGTAGCTGATCCCCGTCTCTAAGAATCACTTACAAAATCAAATCAAAGAGCATTGTGACACATTTTTCACTCCCAGCCAAGACCATCCACTTCAGAGACAGTGCTGGACGCTCATGTATAGGCGCTGAGTGGGACTTTTGCTGTGGTGAAGATGTATGGCACATTAGTGATTCGCTCATTATTTAGTCTCATCCGCTGTATTTTTGTACAGTCGGGTCAATCGTTATCACACACAAATGGTTACAAGACCTAGATGCTCCTCAGGCTGCCCTCGATATCACTCTCTGCTATAAAAATCAAGCCTGCAATGAACTTTCTGGAGTAAAATCTCCAAGTGGCTTTTCACATTGATTCATTGTTTTGTTTGGAGCACAATTTGTCCTGGCAGCATTCTTGAAGTGTCACAGCTTTGCCTTTCGAGTCCAGCCCATGCTTTCAGCTTATTATTTTAGAGATGTTGTTTCAAGGTTACTTCCAGTACTGTCTGGCATATTCTTTTTTCTTTATAACAAGAGATTATTAAGGCCATACAAAAGAAGGAGAAAAAAAAGTCATTTTAAAAGGTATTCTTGGATGTTTTATGAAATGGCTCTGAAGATTGAAAAGAGACAAAGATTACTGTAGCAAGATTACAGGATATTTTTCAAAATCTTTGAAAGAGGAAATTAGCACTTTGCCTTCATCCCCTTGTTCAGGTAGAGGACATTATACTTATGTTAGTTCCTTAACGCAACACCGGTGGACTAGACTGTATGTTAAATTTGGTTCACATGAACTTTATCATATTTTCCTTTTATTCAAGTCTGAATTGCTCTTTGAAACTACACATTAGGAGTGAAACTAGTGGGAAAAAAAAGAGTCAAATGATTTTTGTGTTAGCTGTTTTTTGCTCTTGTTTTGTTTTGTTTCATTTAAAAGAAGCATTTTGCAAGCCTTTTAACCCAAGCTGTCAGTGATGACAGTATAATGATCACCAGCTACTTACATTTGTTAAAACCAAATAGTTGGCCCTATTAAAGAAAACATCTGCCCTTGTTTGAATTCAAATAGATAATTCCTATAATTTCCATCAGAAACAAATTGTGGACTTACATGCTCTGACTGCTTTTGCGGCTTCTTGTAATTTGCTTTAATTGCTGCTGCTCCCTCAAATAAGCAGACTCCACTGGGTGCTTTCGCACAGTCATGGTGTCTTGGTGTCCCATCAGCTTCTTGGGAGTTCTGTAGAGCTCGTGCTTCCTTTACCTCCCTGCTGCAGTTGGCTCATTAATCAAGTGGAAGTTAGTGGCTGCTCCAGTGCTGGCTGCCCTCACAGGCCAAAGTCTATGCGCAGAGAATAATGAGCCAAACTCATGGGATGTTTCAAATGAGATTTTCTTTTGATTTGACTCTCTTCTACTCTACCTCTAGGGCATTTGTTGTTAAGTATTACCATCTTTAGAAGACCATTTTCATTTGGAATATGGTGTTAATTGTTTCTAAAATCTTGTTGGTAATAAAGCCAAGTTTTGTAAGTTTAATTTGGTGCATATATGCAGTCATTAGCCTTGTTAAACTGTTTTAATTAGGCATTGACATGCTGGTGTTTTTATGCATATTAGATGGATGCAATTCAAAGTCACTGCAGAAACAATGGTGTTTGAGATGAGAGCACAAATGTAAATGACTGTAATAAATATATAAACCATCGTCGGTGTTAACTAACACTGTTAGCATTTTACAGAGGGAATTATCATTATTATGCTTCATTAATACATATGACAGATGGAAATTCTACAGGAAAGCAGTTTGTAGAGGTGCGGCTTTGAGTGGACCAGTTTTGAAAACTCAATTTCTGTTGTAAAATGAGCTGAAGCAAAAAGCAAACTCTGAAGTTGTTCACAGTAAGATTGATGCCCACAGAGGAGGCTAGGAGGAGCCTCTGGGACATGAGCACTTGTATCAGCAGGGGGATTAAAGAAAATATGCAAAAAAAAAAAGAAGTCACTAGAAAGATAAATGTGTAGGTGTCATGTGAGAAAGAAAAAAAAAAAAACCTCACAAGGGAATACCATCAAAATTTATTCACCTTGACCTTGCAGTGATTTCAGTCTAATTTTATCCTTTGTGCACAATATCACTGCAGCATTACTTTGTCCCTGGTTAAGTTCACAGTTGTGAAATTAAACTGCTGGCTAGAGCTTAGGTCAAAATTACTTTATCTAAGAAAATGCTTACAATGTGCTTAAAGCTGTGGCGCTCACTACTTAGTAAAATGCATGTTTATCAGTTAAAAATCTGTGTTAACTTTAATTTGGTGTATATCCAATGATGTATAAAAAATAAAAAAAAAACATGACACTGTGTTGTGCGCATAAAAATATTGAATAATACAGCAGGATTTAATGAATAAACTTGTATACTTTTTAAAACATTTTAGAAATGAGAACAGTGAAATATGAGAATAAAAATAAAATAATATTTATAGTACAATAATATATATAGTACAAACTGTTCCATGACATTTACCATGCATTAATAAAAATCGATACAGCAGATTTTGTGTGACAATATTATATTGATACAAGGGCACCAGATATAGATATTTAATTAAATAAGTTAAAATACTCTGAAAATACTGCGAACTACAGGGTTCATCTCATGCGCCACCATCCTGAGGTAACGTTAGCTGAGCAAACTTAGATTAAATCACAGCGACCAAAAACAAACAAACACAAAAAAATCATCCCACACACTGGGACGCCTGATAGGAAGGAACCTTTCTACAAACAGTCGCAGTCTGACTTTGACTGACTGCAATCGCTGACTGAAGTTTTGTAAATAATTGTCATCTAATTTATAAATGTAGGCATATTCCTAACATGTTGCCATCAGTCTGAATCAATCTTTGGCTGCCAGCTGGTTGTATTCTGGTTATATTTCAATAAAACAGGAAGGTTTTTTTTGTTAAATGTGAACTTCTGCCTATATAGACAGCAACAGATATGTGATTTTAAGCAGTATATTACAGGTAATTGCTGTATTTTTTAGAAATATTACATTTAACTGTGAACTTCACCCCATTCCATCTACAACATAAGAAAAAGTAATAATAAGTTCCATAGCTTTATCTTATTGAATAACACAGATATTGTCATAGTTTAACTTTGAGGGTATAAATTGCAGGTGAAAAAAGGTGATAAATCACAATATGTGTTATTGCAATAATCGGCATATCACAAAATGTTGAAAAAGCTGTAATAATAGAAAATAAAAATAATAAAAATGAATAATAATAAATAAAACAACAATAATAATAAAATTACAAACCTATGTGGCATAACCCACATACACAAACATGGAGAAACTGTCAGGAAGTATCACAAACCAGATATTTTCCTCACATTTTTTATTCTCATAAAAACCAGACCGCTTTTAATTAGCTGGGGTTTATCCCACATTTAATTATATTACTAGTGAGGCTTTTTACAGCGTTATCAAACAACTATTTTTCCTGTTTACGGTCGTGATGTAAATGCTGTGTGTGCTGTGTGGCCTGATTTAATGGGATGGCAGCGGCGCTGTATGGCACAAGCACAAATTTAAATACACACACACAGCAGGAAGCATATTACCCTGAGACTGAGGCAGTTCTCCATCATGCGGGCTAAACGGGAAAAAAAAACAAGAGGAGGCGATGCAATCCACTCCATCTTTATAGCTTTCAGGAAAAAAAATTGATTTTTAGGTGCAGAGTTCCCAATAATTTGTGTTTGGCGCTGCGGGTTTGGTTTCCCTGAGGTGAATATGATATAAAATGATTATTTCACTCTGTACAGACACAAGACTGCTGTAAACTACATGTAGAGCTAAACAACTTAAGTGACAGCTGTTATTATACTGCTAGTTTGTGATTTTTCATATCTGAATAACTTGAGCGTTTTACTTTTGACTCATTGTTTTGACTTTGGTGGGAACATCATCCTACCAATTTAGGATAGTAAATCAACAGGATGACAAGACGCGGTGACTCTGTGTACAGTCAGTCTTGCATCAAGTTTATTTGTGGGAGCATCTTTTTACAGTGTGTGAATGTGTGTGTGAATTGGTGGATGACTAGTGTAAAGCTTAGGGATTAAGTAAAGCGCTATACAAATACAGGCCATTTACCATTTATTTACCATTTTTAATGTTATGCATGCATAGTGCCAGGAAATGGCCCTACACATGCCACTACCCTGTGTAAATGATTAAACCTGTCAGTCACACCGTCATTCTTGGATTCTAAATCACATCTGCATTTCATTTCTGGCGTGAAAATTCTTTGAAGTCATTCCATGCTTGTTAATTTCCATGTTTAATATTTGAGATTCAAGAGTATACAGAATAGTTAAATTCATGCTATGCTAAGAACGCCAGTAGACGCAGTATAGTTTCTAAATAAAAGTGCAGTAATCTATTTTGCTGGTTTTGCAGGCCCACCGTGTGAGAAGAGGAAAGCCTCCTGTGACCCAAATCCATGTAGAAATGGTGGTACATGTGAAGAGAGTCCCACAGGATTTGTTTGCCTTTGTCCGGAACGATTTGCGGGCCTCTACTGCGAATCTCGAGTTAACTTCGATTGCAAGTCGTACCCATGTCGGGAGGAACAAATGTGCACTGCAGGGGATCGCGTGAGGACTTTATTTCCCTTATTTGTTTTCCCTCAGTGGGACGTAAACAAGAAATGGCACATGAAAATTAATAGTGTCTTGAAGCGAGATCAAATGCCTTCATTCTAAAAGCTCCGGGAGCAATTAATATTTCCCGGTGAAGATGAGCTGTGGGAAAGGGTGTCTGCTTTCTCTAACATTTTGATTGAATGACCCAGTCCATATTTAAGTGCCAGTTGGAAATGGCTCTCATCAGAACCTTTTTGTAATTGGATGCCTGCTGCAATTTGCACCTTTCACGGGAAATGCTAGTGTACTCATACATTTTGCAGAGGTGGTAGTGTTTCTAATGCTCTAGAGGATACTCTGGGGAAAATACAGCAGTGGTTTAATTGTCTTTCTCTACGACCTTTGTTTTGTTCATTACAGTTTGCCAAGTGCACTACACATTTTCGAGACCCACCTAAGGATACCCGAGCAGAGAAGAGTAAAGGGGACATTTATCAACATAATGCACATTATTGCTGCTGCTTGACATATATATTTTTTCCTAGAAGCATAATCTGTTTAACTTTGAATTACAAGAACATTAACATTTGTTAGCCTCTCATATCTAAAAACCATATTAAAACAAATGTAAAACCTATTATTTATTTAGATTATATTTAATGAAAGTGTAGAAGTCTGTAGCAAATATAACTGTGACTCAATGAAGGCCCATTTTTATCACTACGGTGATTTGCTCTTTTATTGATAATGTTCCGTGTTCCTACACTTGAAAATCTAATGTACCTTTTGTGTAATGTAAGCGTCCTATCCCAGGCTTGCAGGTGATCTAGGTTGTATTGCTTCTCCCATGCAGGGCTCTGAATGTGTCTGTGCAGATGGTAGTGTGGCCACAGCGTGCAGGAGGCAGAGCAGCCTGTGTAGTCCATCACCATGTTTGAACAATTCCACCTGTGTGTCCAGGGGAAATGATTACATCTGCAGGTAAGAGGGAGATCTAATAATAGGAACATCATAGTCTCTTCTTGAAGATGATTCGCGTTTCTTATGAATGTGGCTCCCTCTGAGAATGAATAAAAATGTGATTTTTTTTTTTCCACCTTTTGATGTGAGGAGGATTTAAAGTTGTCTCAAAAGCTCCAGGAAGTCATTGTTGAGAGTTGAAACAGAGACTTAAATCCTTTTCCTATGAAAACGTTTCCATTTCATGCCATTCATTTCTGCCATTTTTCAAGATATCCAGATATTAAACTGTACCAGACCACAAAACAGATAAACTGGTTTAATTTGTTTATCAGATAACAACTCTCACACAAGTAATTTGACTAAATTAGAACCAAATACAATACAAATATAGGGAAGTGTATATTTGGCATATTATACTGTATAGTTAATTTGATTCACATTAGATCTTGATTTGGTATGATACGCTAACATCAAGCATTTCAGAAAATGGGTGAAAAATGCTAACCTGATTAGCGACACGCCCCTGTCTTTATCAGAATCAGATCATGCGGAAAACTGAATTAGAATCCCAGAAATCTCGTATAAAGAAACAACACAGCATTGCTTGTTAGTGCTTAAAGCTCAAGGTGAATTGATTTTGATGACACTGACCGCCTCTCAACAGATGTCTGAGTGGGTTTTCTGGGAAGAATTGTGAAGAAATAATTGACTACTGCAGTCTGCTCAATATCAGCTGTCTAAATGAGGGATTGTGCTTGAGTGTAATTGGCGGATATCAGGTAAGTAATTCAAGGTTTCAGTCATAATGAAATGCAATAAAGCCCACGAAATATGACTCATGATGCATACAGAGTCGACGCAGCGTGAACTCATTCATAAGTGTAGTTATGATTCATAAAATAAATGTTCTGTTTTGGTAGTAAGATTTTTTTTAAAATCTTTTTTGTGATTAAAAACATGGGAGTGGTCCACTCTCCATTATTGCATTTGATCATTTCCAGAGTAATATTGGTCTAAATGGTGTATTGTAACCTTTTTTCACTTTTCAGAATTTTGAGCATGTTAACCTTCCTGTGAATCTGTTTGGTGTGTGGCTTTTTTGTTAGCAAGTATTCATTTTTAGACTGTAAAATCTGCTTTAATGATGCAACAGTTATGCACTGTATCGATTTTAATGATGAATCCTTCAGAATGGCAACTATTGCGTGATATTCTTACAGTTGTCCCTGAATATAAAGTACATGCAATACAAATACAGAGATAAGACCTGGTTTAGACATGTTTAAATGTTTGGGGTTTTTTCTAATGTTGTCTGTATGACAGTGAAATACAAAGAGAATTACAGAAACATCAGTGGTAGTTATATGACTACAGAAAGCAGTAATCCAATTCTAAGTCATTAAATCCTGG